CGAATGTATAAATAGGTGTGGAGACAAGAGTGCAATTATAAAACATTAGGATCGTCGTTAATTCTATTCTACCTCCATTTTCGGTTTCTTGGAGAAAGAAATATGGCTAGATAAAATAAACTCAGAAAGTAGATACCGTGTGCATCCACATAAATAAGGTCTGCACTCTCCTGTGCATAACAAGTGTGTATATCTATTTAATTTCACTGAAGCAAACTGCAATTCTTGAAAGAAGAAACATTTATAAATGTCGAAGCACGCTTTATTCTTGTCTTTTGTTTTAACTATGTTTGTAAGTGGATATCTCATTAGTCATGAGTAAAACACATAGGAATTTCCAACCATGGCTTTTAGACGAAGAAAAGGCACGAAATATCCTCACATCGCCTCGTCTTATGCACCCAGCTCCCTATTGTCAAAGACAAAATCCTTGGATGTAAAAGCAAATGCAGAGAATAGAAAAATTTCTTTTAATGTAGGTTTTCCATTGATTGCACACATGAAATTATTCTGAATCGTGAAGGCTGTGGTTGCTTGTGCTAACATGGACGATGGCAAAGTAAAGTTTGGCTATGTCAAGGTCTTGTATTTACTGGCACACAATCTTTGGTGTTCCCGGTTTATCTCTTGGCGTGTTGATTATATGAGAAGCAGGTGCGTCTATAACATGAATACGTGCGTGTGAAGCACCCACGTTGAAATGTAGAAGACATTTGGTTTATTGCACACGCACTCTAAAGGAAGATCCCGTAGAAAAATGTGCACCACTAATCGCGGTCATCTTTGAAGGCCTTCTTTACATCAGATGTTTCCTTCACTGCACCAAAGTCAAAAAAATTCTATGACTGTTGGATTTTTGGCATCTCAATGGTGCAGCTGAGAAGAGTAGATTAAAAACAGTCGCCACATGGCCTTGTGTATCACCCGAATTCGAGGAGTTCGACTCACCTTTCAAGGGCTTTTGCTGTGGTTGACACAGATCCCTGTTTTTTATGACTCCTGGAGAGAGGACATTCGAATAGAGATTAAGTAACGGCATTTGTAGGCCTGCAGTGTCCATTCTGACTGTGACTCATTTCATTACTAAAATGAGTAATACTTTATTCGAATTTCCATATTTATATCTAAATGAAGGCATTTTAAGGGTCACTGCCTGCAAAAGGGTTGTTTGATCATTAGCAGCTAAAATAAAGGAATACATTCCACGCACAATTGGTTAAGAAAGTGAAACTGAATCTCTAAGTTCCTTCTGACAAAAAATTAAAATCCTCGACGGTGAGGTAATGCAAACGGTCTCTTTAGTTGACTTGATCTCGGTTCACGGCAAGCTAATTTATTAACACTAATAGGATATTAAGAAGCCTGCTTTTCATAAGAACGTGCAACACTGGCGCTTGAAGTAGTGACAACTCCGTCGACCATGCAATGGAATCGCGTAATCCTCCAAACAAAGTGCTGCTGCTAATGTTGACGTGAATGTGTGATAAAAAAGTTTGCTTACCAACTTTTGTTAAGATGTTTCATTGCGAAAGGTGCCAGACATTGCCCTGATGCAACTGGAAAAAGAAGTAAAGTCTGATCAAACAAGCCACGCTTTTCCCCATCATCCCAAAATATCAGATTTTTTAAAAAGTGGAAAAAGCGGAAATAGGCCATGCAAGAGGTTAAGATACCCTTTATAGGAGGGGTTACAGTAGCCACAGCTTATAGATTGTCATGCACTGCCAGACCGACAGTCAGCTACTCTAAATACCTTTTCGTAAATTAGTATATCGTGACTGAGAGCATGCATATTCAAAGAATGCCCTCTTGTTATATAGTGGGAGGACTTTGAGTGCGCTGCAGTAAAAAAATGGAAAATATTATGCCAGTAAGTGTGTACTAAGAGTTTCCTCAACAGCTAATTTTGGTCAGCAATTAAGCTGATTTTACAGTTCAATATTTTGTCTGTCAAATTAATGTGAATAGGCCTTCCGTACTCCTCGTTAGTCACGAACCGCCGCACCTGTTAACTAAGTAGGTCTGAAATTCTAACTTCGTGTGGAAAATCAATTTCCGATTATTCGATAGACCGATGAATTCACAATTTGCTTTGTCGTCGGCTGCTACACACTTTTTCGCTCGCTGTTTGCTCCACCGTCTACCGGCTGACGAGTGGGCGAAGCCGAGTTTAAGCAAGAGTAATTACAGTAAACGATTTCTCCTTGTGATGTGAAGGACAACAATATGCAGT